TGAGACTCCCTGTGAGCTGGAGAGGAGAGAGGGAGTGAGGAGAGGTATTCTTGCCCTTCCCATCAGCGGCGGCAGCAGCCTCTGGGAAGCTCCTCCTTGCACATCTATTATTCCCAACCTCTGCAACTGCTCCCTCATCCAGCCAGGATCCCCAAGTGGTGGGAGGGACAAGAGGCCCGACCCTGCCTGGAGACTGTATGAGCCAGCTGCATTAAGACAGTCTGGGTAAATAACCAGAATGAGCACGGTTTATCGGGTACCTTCTATGTGCCAGGTCTGATACTGGTGCTTTACCTGCACTTGTCTGTTTAATCTTCAAGGTAGGTCCCCTGCACAGATGAGAACACCAAGGTTTCCAGAGGAAGTGTCCAAAGCCACCCAGAAGGCAGGAGGAGCTAAAGTCGGGACTCAAGACTTCCTGCCCCCAGAATCTGAGCTCTTCCCTCCAAAGTGGAGAGGGATCCTCAGCCATTCATGTCACAAACACTGAGGAACTTTTCAAAATGCAGTCTTCAGATCCTTTCAGACTTTGAGACTCAGGGTCTCTGTGAGTGGGACCCAAGAGTCTATATTTAAATATAACAGCTGCTTTGGATCTTCTCAGGCCCCACGCAGCCCCTGTCTCAGGAGGCAGGACCCCAGAGGAAGAAAAGGGAGCCAGAGCACAGCATCTGCACTGGTTATTTCTGGGGGGATGGAAGCATCTCTGCCTCTGAACCCCTGTCATCCCAAGATCCCTCAGTTGCTCGCTCCTGGAACTGAGGCCTAAAGAGGCAGAAGGCCCCAGAAGGCAAGACAACTCGTCTGCAAAGTGTTGGAGTGAGAGGTTCAAGGCATGGAGGCTGAGAGGAGCAACACGGCCGCAGGCCACCTCCTGTCCATTGCAGGGGTACAAGTGGGATGCAGAGGGGACTGCCACCTTGGACAGAGCCCAGGATCCCCATCTACTCAGTTTAAGGAGGGTGGTTCTTTAAGACTTGCCCCCCTGCCTGCGGCACAAGAGGAACTGTCTCCCCACTCTGGCTCCTCTAAACACCCCGGACCTGATGGTAGAGTTAGCCTGGGCTCCCTGCGCTGCAGGGGCAACAGACGCTGGTCTTCAGTGAGGAGTGGAAAGCGATCAGCACACATCACATCATGCTTGGCACGGACCCCGGTGGTGGGCACCCTGCCGCCGTGCAGGCCGGCCTTCTCCCTGCAGAGCCTTTGTCAGTGGAAGAGAGGCTGCCAGGGGGGTCGGCGCCCACCAGGAATGGCCCAACCTTGGGAAGGCCCCTTACCACCAGCCCCCATCCTAAAGCCCTGTCTTTCCTGGGCCTGGTTTGTAATTCTTTTATATTTATGTGACCATTTACTTTCAGTGTCTCCTCTTCCAGGCTCTGTGAGACAGGACTGAGTCCTCAGAGTCCCCCAGTGTGTGTTCTGAGCACCTGGCACATTTGCTGAATAAATGAATGAATGAATGAATGAATGCACGAACAGACAAACTTGAATGAAAAATGCCACATTCCTGTCCATACCCTTGCTCCTAACACAACCCATAGGTGCTCAGTACTCAGACATGGCAGGAGGCAAAGTAAAAGGAAACACTTCTGACAGAGCTGGGAACTCAAGGTCAACCCCAGGGCAATTCCGCAGCAGTTAATCAAGGAAGACTTCCTGGTGGAGATGAGCAGGGAGCAGGGGCTTCAAGTTTCACATCTTTCTTCCTATTCACCACCTGTTTCCGGCAGGAACTCCCAGAGGGCAGAGGTCATGTCTGGGTCTCAGGGCCTTCCCCAGCACACCGCCATGGCAGCCGCCTGCACGTGACCTTTCCAACTGTCTACTGCCAGCTGTGACTCACAGCTCCTGAGCCTTTCCTCTTGGCTAGAGATGGGGAGCACATATTACAGTAAAATTACTAACCGCATGTCACAGCTGTGACCACACTTACGTGCAGAGCACCCCCCCCAGACCCCAATGCCAAAGCAATGATCTCACCTTTAGGGGTCAGCAGCAAACAAGGACTGGCCACCCCAAAGGCAAGTGAATGGCCTGCCTGAAAAGCCCAGAGTCTGGTCCTGTCCCCTCAGAGCTAGTTGCACACCCTATCCCCCTTCCCACAAGCGGCCCAGCTTGGGTAGGGACTCAGTCCCTCCTGCCCCTCCCCAGCCAGAGTGAGCAGAAGGGAGAAAGGGGAAGTGGTGGAGGTGGCCTATCCCTGCTGCTGGGTCCAGGATACTCATGCTGGGGAAAGTGGCATCTGAGGATGTGGCTACAGTGGCCAGCTACTGGTGCCAGCAGAAATCCCCAGCCCGTCAGTTGACCCTGTTCATACGTGCTCACTGACCAAGCACTGAGTAAGTGCTGAGGAGATACCTGTGGAGTGAGGTCATACCCCTGCTTGCCCTCTTCTAGACAGGCCACTCCTGGGACCCAGACCATTCTCGTTCCTCCTGTCAGACCCCGAGGACCCAGGGCATCTACTCCTATAGGGAAGCTCAACAGGAAAGAAAGGAACACATAGGAATTGGACTCCCAATACAGCTGGGTGCTCTTAGGAAAGTTACCCACCTTCTCTGGGCCTCAATCTCCTCAACCATAAAATGAGACTAAGACTAGATGCCTTGCGTGCTGCCATGAGAATAGATGAGTGCAGCAGCCTAGAGCTGCAGTGGGTAGACAGCAGCCAATGGCAGCCATTCTTGGCGTTGTGCTACTGCCATTAACAGATTAGTATCAGGGAAGAACTGAGGCTTCAGAGAAGGGAGAGAACCCAAGTGCTTGAGGAAGAAAGTTGGGAAGGCCCCATCTACACAATGTCAACTGCAAACTATAGGGCACAAGGGCCTTGTGGCAGACATGATCTCCCAACATCCATTTGTCCCTTCTTCCCCATTTGCAGTCAGATGTCCTCATAGAAAGACTATTGCCCAGCTTCCCTTGCAGCTAAGTGTGGCAGGGTAACTGCATTCGCCAATGGGATATAAGTAATGTGTGTAATTTCCAGGAAGTTTCTTTAAAAGGAAGGAGCAAAAAAAAAAAGGAAGGAGCATGTCCTTGTTCAACTCTTTTTCCTCCTTCCTGCTGGCTGGAGCTCCAGCAGCCAACTTGAGCAATGATGCAGCCTTGGAAATGAAAACTACACCCAGCAGATAAATAAGAAAGAAGGAGACTGGGTCCCTGACAGCATGTAGTTGTCAAACCAGCCCAGGGATTTACCTCTAGTCTTTGAGTACATGAGCAAAAAACACATGTCTAGCTTGTGTAAGCCAAACTTAACTCTGATATAAGCCCCTCAAAACCCATGTGTGGCTGGGTGGGGTGAGTCACAGAGGGTACCTGGAAAGAAGACATCCCCTGGAGAAGCCTTCCTTCCATATGCCCTGCAAGGCCAGGAGGGGCCTGTGGGAAAGACTAAGCTCCAGGAGGAGCTGGGGAACCATCTCACCAGTTGTCATGAGAATTCAGGGAGACAAGCCTTGTGATGTGCTTCTCACAGGGAGTGGCCCAGTGCAAGTGCTCAGGAAACATCCCTGTTCACTATCGCTGATGCTGAAATCCTGCCCTGAGTGTAAGAAACCAAATGCTGCCACTGGCTGGCCTGCGGTGCGAGTTTAGGAAAAGAACTCTGGGCTCCTGACCCCAGAACTGCAGACCTAGTCCTTGGAGACGCTAAAGATCAAGTAACATCAACGCCCTGGGAGAGCCGCACCTTCCACCCTATCAGGATCCTGAGGGCACAGGTAGGGGATGAGACCAGTTGGGAGACCTGGTAGGTGGGGGTGGCCAAGGTGTAGCCTGCTGTCCCACTGTGGTCAGGCCAGGCCTTTGGCAGGTCCATGTTTCATCACAAGAAGCTGGCAAGAGGCCAGAGAGAGCAGCAGAGGCCACACGGAGGGCAAACACAGGCCTGAGGGGCAGGGTAAGGGATCAGCCTGTCCTTCCTGGGGAGGGGAAGGGGAGGGGAGGGGAGGGGGGGGAGGGGAGGGGAGGGAGGGGAGGGGAGGGGAGGGGAGGGGAGGGAAGGGAAGGGAAGGGAAGGGAAGGGAAGGGAAGGGAAGGGAAGGGAAGGGAAGGGAAGGGAAGGGAAGGGAAGGGAAGGGAAGGGAATACCCGGGGTTGACCTCAGTGCGATTGCTGGTGGTCAGATGAGCTAATGCACAGGGACACCCTTCCTAAAACTCCCCGGAAAATGCAGGTGGTTACTTATGAGCGAGGCTGCTGTGAAAGGTGAGACAGGACTTTATGAGGGGAACTGAGGCTGCCATGTCTCCTTGGACAGCAAACAAGAAAAAAATAATTTTAAAGTCACCATAATTCCAGGTGCTGTGAGGTCATTCTGGTTGCCCACAAGATGAGCTCTGACGTGGAGGGAAGCCGCGACAGAGTCGGGAACAAAACGGCCTGCAACTCTGAGTGCGGCCTCCAACCAGGGGCAATCCCTCCCAGACCCTGCTCCCAGCTCCACAGAATCAGACCGGGGCAAAGGCACGATTCTGGGCATGGGCCTGGGACTCATACAGAGGTGAGTGTGAAGCCACCTTGGACAAAATTACCTAATTGCTCTGAGTCTTTGTTTCTTCTGTTTAAAGAGCAGAAAACCAGAGCTGGGCTCAGAGGGCCCCTGGGAAGATTGATTCAGTGGCTGCCAGCTGAGAGCCTGGCACCCAGGACGGGTTCCATAAATATTCTCTAGTGAGCTGCTATTTTTCTCCTCTCCGGGCAGGGATTGAACTGTCAGTGTCTCTGAATTCTTTTTAAGTCTAGAATTCCTTGATTCCACAATCCTATGACTCTCCGAGTCTGACTCTGGGACCTGAGGACGGGAGGCGACTTGGCAGCAGAGCTCTGCCCCACGCAGCCCCGGCCCGGCACCTGCCGGCCCTGCCAGCAGCCGCGTCGGCTTACTTCCACAAGTGGGCTTCGCCCTGCCCATCACGTACCCCAGCCCCGTGGCAGCCCCGTGGCCACAGGTGGCCTGCCAGCCGTCCCTGACCCCCGCATCATGCCCTCACCTGTTGTCAGAGAGCAGCACGAGCCCCTCGGCTGATGTTCTCACACCTACGGTCCCCTGACAGTGTCACATGCTGTGGAAGTTGGCAGGGCCAGAGGGGCCACAGATGCCAACACAAATACCATTCCTGTGGAGGGAAAAGAGCCCATGAGGTTATTTTTAACCTGTTGATCAGAGGCCACAGCTCTGGCCCTGGGTGGCCTGGGGCCGGGGTCTCTGAGAGGTAAGGGAGCCGTCAGCCTCACCTCAATGACTCCCAAGGGCATTGGGCTGCAGGGACTCCAGCCCCCACCCCACTTTGACAGAGAAGGAGAGAGGGAGGCGCAGATCAGGACATGCCCCATCTTGTCCATTGGTCTCAACTGGGGTTACGTGCTCAGCCAGGAAGGGCAATGGTGCTGTGAATCACTGAATATTGAACTTGGAGGTGGGTCTTCTCCAGTCCCTGCATGGCACAGCTAAGGAAACTGAGTCTTAAGAGAAGAAGCCCAAGGTTATACCACTGGTCAGCACCGGCTCCCTCTTCCATTGTCCACCTCCTGACCTCAAATCTAGCATGGACTTTTCCATAACTCTCAAGGCCACACCGGGGAGGTCACTTTGCCCCAGCTCCTCTGCCCTCTTCTCAGTCTGTCCAACGTGGTGGACTGAGCCCATGACAACCCCAAGATGAGACCCCAGGCCCTGGCTTACCCTCCAAGGACTTCCCAGGGGCCCAAGCAGTGCCCCTGGGGGCCAGCAGCAGGGGCCGGTGCAGTGGGTAGCACCATAGTGGCTAGAGGCCCAGGCGAGGACGTGCAGGCCAGGGCGTGCCTGCGTGGGGTGAGCAGGACAGAGCCTCTGCCAAGAGCCTGTTGCCGGCTGCTGCTGAGTCTGTGTTTGCCAGAGGGAGGGGCGCGGGCAGCAAGCAGACAATGGACCCCACAGCCTAGCCTCTCGGCCTTGGCCCCTTGAGCTGAGCAGGCAGCTGCTGACCCAAGCAGCGGAGGTGGCTCCGCTGGCCTCTCACGTAGTCCACGTCCTGCCTGCTGGGCGGCCCTTATCACCTGGTACGTGCCAGGAGCCCACAGGCTCACACTGCAGTGGAGAGGGAACTAGAGGCCTGCGATGGACGGCACCGGCGGCCAGTAAGGCTTCCCACTCCTCCCCGGCTCCCAGAGAGGGGCCCCGAGCAGGCCCTGTGTACCTTTCGGGGGATATTCCATCCCCAGAGAGACCTTAGCTCCATCTTGCCAAGTCCTGTCTCTCAACTACTCTTCTCCTCTTAGACTGAGAAGCTTGCGGTGGGAGAGAAGGAAGAGGCTTGATGCTTGCTCTGAGTCACCAGCTCACAAATACCCGTTGTACTTCAATATGAAAAGTACTATGACATTATAGCCATTTAATACACAGGGGAACGGAGGCACAGAGAGGTTGCATAAGTTACCCACAATCACACAGCTGGTAGAGACAGAGGCAGGCTTCAGATCCAGGCAGGCGAGTCAAGAAGCGAAGCGCTGCCCGACAGAGCACAGAGGGAGCGGGGGCGGGACTGGGCAGTGCTCGCCTGCTGACCCTCCTGCTGACCCTCGGAACAGCAGTGTGCAGTCTGACCGACATGGGCTCAGCGGTGACTTCTTACTCTTAGCCAAGTGAAGTCCTTCTCTGGTCCAGTGTTTCCTTGTCTATAAGGTGGGCACAGTGATGTCATCAGGCAGGAGCAGGAAGACGGCCAGAAAGACGGGGACTGCCCCTCGCCTAGCAGAGCGCAAAGCGTCCTTCCATGGAGTGGTTAGAACGTGCTCTGTCTGGTCAGTTGAATCCACCACCCCAGCCTCCACTGCCATGGGCCAAACCCACAGGGCAGCTCCACTCCCTGACCCTTGGGCTCTGCCGCAGGCCACCAGCGCACTTAGCCAGGTAGCTCTGGTGGCTTGGCCGGCTCAAGCACCATCGTTTAACCCTGGGTCCCCCGTGTCCACCCCCAGGAAGACTGCCAGTGCTTGCACTGGCGCCAGGAGGACAGTCCGAGGGCAGAGGCCTGTCTCCCCATCAGACTGGAGGGTCTGAGGAAGACAGGAAAGGTGACAGCACACGAGTGCTCGGTGTCACCCAAGCCGGGGCGCCCTGAGAGCAGAGGCTGAGTCTGCCATCTCACTGGGACTCCCCCGAGGTGGTGGGTGCCCCTGAGGGGGGCAGGCCTCCTTCCTCTCCGGGTCAGACGGGGGCCTCCGTGAGGGCTGCATCTGGCCCATGGAGAGGCTGAAGTCCGCCACAGTCCCCTCTCTCGTCCCGTTCAGCCACCTCCCCAGTCTTCGAGGCATTCCTGTGTCTGCTGTGGTGCCTCCTGGGGTCACTTTCAGTGGCCGGGGAGGCAGCAGATCCCCAGCATCTCTGACGTGGCTGGCGACCCAGCCCCCGGCCTTTCTCCCCCACGCTGCTCAGCAAACACCTCCGCTTTCCTTCCTCTGCGGCGTCTCTGCCCGTCTCCCCGGCTTTCTGGCCGGGCTGGCTCCCCCCTGCCCTCCCGCCCGCAGTCCAAACCCTCCAATAGATCGTGAGGCGGGAGTGTGTCGCACGTGGGGCTTCATTTCATCTTCACAAGCCTAGGATACAGATCGGGAGTGCCATCCCTGTTGGATAGGTGAGGAAACTGGGGCCGTGCTCACAGAGCTTGTAGAGACAGAGTCGGATCCGAACCCAGGCAGGCTGAGGTCGAGGAACTGCTCAGGGTCACACAGCTCCTGGGGAGCGGGATGGGGCTGGAAGCAGCGCCTGACTCTGCACATGCGCCGGCCAGCTAGCCCAGCAGGGAGGAAGGCTTGCTCAGCCTCTGCACTCAGGGAGCCCCAGCCTGGGGCGTCTGGTCCGAAGGAGCTCCTGCTTGAGCAGTGCTGTGCCCTTGTGCGCTGTCCCCTTCCACATCTTCCTTTAGACCCTCTATCCCAATGGGGAGAAGTAGCCTGAGCTCTGTTTCTGAGGCCAGTGCACCCAGGAGCATGCAGGCTTCAGTGAAGGTGGGAACATGTAACTGTGGGGAGGCCCTGTCCTCACTTCCTCAGGACCACTCTCCTGGGGGGAGAGGTCTCCTCACTGTAAGGAAAGAGAATCCCCCAGAAGTGCTTTCTGAGAGGCTGTAAGACAGAGAGGGTAGAGGGAGACAGAAGTGCCATCACATCTGTTCTGTGGGTGGCTGGGCTTGCTGCCCCGGACAGCTGGGCCACATCTGGCTTCCAGACATCCACTTCTTGCTCCGTGATTCACTGTGTGCGAGGACGTGCTTGGAGCAGCCCGAGGTCTCCCACACGCATGCACGCTCCCACTGCACAGGGAGGGCAGCCCGGCTGGGAGTCGATAAGCGCCCCTGCTTCTCCTGCCCCCAGGCCCCACTGTTGCCTCTCACACGGCCACAGGCAATGGGAGGAGGGGCTCCAGGCGACCCTTGAGTCACCATGACTCAGTCTCCACTCCGGAGCCTTCACACTCAGGCTCAGCAGGCTTTATGCTAACACAATGAGCAGGTGAGGAGTCAGCAGGGAGGAAGCAGCAGACCAGCCAGGAGGTCTGATGCCCCCCACACAACCCTTCCTAGGGAAGGGAACCTCCAGGAGAGCTGAGGATGGATGGGGCTGGGGAGGGAAAATAACTTTCCAAGGAGGGAGGAAATAGGGAGCACATGGCATTTCCCCATCAAGTTGGGGCTCCTTGAGGACAGGGCTGGGTCTCCCCTCAGACTGGGATTTCTATAAGGACAGGGGCTGTGTCTTTCCCATCAAAATAGATCTGATCCAAATCCCCTTTAGATCTAGAACAGATGGTTCATCCATCATCTATATCATTCGGGGTTTGCAGACTGATCTGAGTCAGGAGGAATCAACTTCTTCAGCAAAACCCCATCCTGAGAAAGGACAATTACACACACTGACAGGGACCCCCCCCAATTGCTGAGCAACCCCCTCGGTTCATCCACTCACCCCTCTGGGTGGTCCCTCCCACAGTCTAGCCCCAGTCTCTCATGCTAGCTGAATCATCTACCAGGCAGGATGGACCCACGGGATTTGTATGCAGAGTCTGCCGGGGCCTGGTGGGGCGGAGAGAGCTAGCATTCTTGGCATCAGTCTCTCACATTTGGCCACCCTCAGCTGGAGGGGTCTGCAGGCCCGGTGCCCCCCAGATCCACCACTGAGCATGGGAACGGGCAGATGATCCTGGGCCCTGTGGCCTGGGGAGGCCAAGCTAGGCGGGCTCTTGCTTCCGTGAGTCCAAATCAGCACAAGAAGTGGGTCCCAAACCCTATCAGTTCATCCTTATCCTGAACCCTAGCCCCACCCTGGGATTAGAGGACAGGGTGGCCTCCTACTCCAATGGGTCACCAAGAGGGTGCAGCCCCACCTGGAGTAGATGCACCTGGTGGTGAAGGAGGCAGGAAATGTTTTGGGCGGGCCTGGGAGTCCTTCCCCACATCCTTAATCACCTGTCCACATCAGGAGCTGGGCTCTCCCCAGACTTCTCCCCCAAACCCCCTGTCTCCTCCATACCTCCCACTCTCCTTTCAGAGACTCAAACCACAGGGACATGCAGCGCCAGGGCTGGTGTGACCACAGTGGAAGCAAAGACTCCTGGGCCCTCCTTGTTCCACTGACAACCCCACCTCCAGGCAGGGTCAGAGGGTGCCTCCCCACCCAGCACTGAGAATTGGGCATCACCATGGCCAACGTGCCCTGAGATATCAACCCACCACACAGATGTGGGGACTGAGGCCTTTGGCTATTGCAGAGCTAGGGAAGATGCAGCCCTGGAGTGAGCCAGCCAGTCTGGCAGGCGCTCGCTCTGCCTGAGTCAGGGTGGCCCCTCTCCTGGTCAGACTGTGAGCTCCCTGAGGTCAGGGGCTCGTCTCCAGCTTCCTGAAAGGAATTTGCTGAGAGGGTGCAGGCTAAGTGCCCAGCCTGAACTGTTCCTGGGGGTCGGGGTTGGGGGTCAGGCAGGAAGCCTCCAATCTCTACAATGGAGTCTCCTCACTCGTGTTTCCTGCCCTAGTCCTAGAGAACGCACACAGTTCAGGAGAGTCACCCGATCCCTCCCTGTTTCCTTTGCTGGCTGCAGGAGCTCACCTCTAGGGCCCTTCTTGCAAGCCACAAGCCCTCTCCACTTGGTTCCTGGTAGCTCTGGACTCCTGGTGCCTTGAAAAGGGAGGGTCTGGGCTAGGCAGGCTTCCGGATGCACAGGCAGATGTGCATCCAGGCCAGAACAGGCCACCCGGAGAAGTCCCAGAGCCCGGTGCAAGAGCCCTCTCCCCCAAGCTGGCAGAAGAGCTGACGGAAGCCAATGTGCCTTCCTCTGCCTCTGAGCCCAGCCGCTGGCTGTGCTAGCTCCAGTTGAGCTAGTACGCCCTCTTCTCCCAAACCCCACCCTGGTGTCATCCCTCTTTCAAGCACAGTCCTTGCTCCAGCCAGATGTCTAAGCACAGACTTGTCCCCAAGAAAACCATGCCCTACCTGCTAGTTTCTGCTCATCCTGACTTCTCTCCCTCCTCTCCCAACAAGAGCCAACTCTCCCCAGGCTCCTGGGCTCACCACACTCTGCAGAGCTCTGACCCGCATGGAGAGCCAGCAAGGGGCAACAAGCGTCCCAGCGTCTCTAATAACCTAGCGTGCCTCTGCACCTAAACCACTCCCCTATCTGTCCAATCGCCAGCCTCTGCCACCTCTCTGGAGGCGCGTTCATCAGGTCTGCTTCCCACCGTGTAGCGAGGATATGGCCTCGCTCTTATCGGA